AACACTGTAGACTGCACAGATGACAATATTGTGAGGAAGAAAACACAAACATCAACAATAATGGGTTAGAAGTGATTTAGAATAGAGAGATTCTGAATGCAAAGTTTTAAGAATATCTTAACCTATTTATCTCATTTAATTCTAAAAAGTTTTACTGGAGCAATATATGATTAAAATATATGTCTAAATCTAAAATAAACGTTTGATACATATACAATAAAATTAGTTGCAAAAAGTTATATCACAATTTAATTAGCAGTGCTTTTCTGTTCTGTGGTACTATAAATGATGATGTATCCTGAATGTGAACTTTAAAGAGGCAAAAGCTTCAGTACTGAATAAATTCTCATATCTTTCAATAAATTGCGATTGCACAACAAGTGTGTGATAGGAAAAATAATGGCCTCTGATTATGTCTATATCCTAATCTCTTAAATCTGTGAATATGTTACCTCACACAGCAAAGGAAACTTTGCAAATATGGTTAAGTTAGGGCATTTGAGATGGCAAGAAATTTATTGTGGATTATTTGGTTATTCCCAGATGTTAAACTGCTGACTTTGAAGATAGAGGAAGAGTCCGGGAAGGGTTGAATGCAGGAAGCCTCTAGAAACTAGAAAAACACAAGGAAATAGATTGTTCCCTACAACTGCTGGAATGAATGCAGCCCTGCCTACACCTTGATTTTAGGACTTCTGATCTCCCAAATTGTAAGAAAGTAGATTTGTACTGTCTTAATTCACTAAATTGGTGGCAGTTTGTTATAGCAGCAATAGGAAACTCATACAAAATGTATGCGGTCTAAGATAGTTGCCAAACTAGTTTAGACGTAGAGGTTTTTTTCACAGTGTCTCATGATATAATATTTTGAAGAATGACCGCTGGAAAATGCTGTTTTTGCATGTCCCAAATGAAGCAAGGCTAGTGGTTAAGAGCCAGATCAGCTGGCTTCAAATCCTGGCCCTGCCATTTCCTAGCCAATTTCTAACTTACACACTTAACCTCTCCGGGATGTTTTGGATTCTTGTCTGTAAAGTAAGAATGATGATAGTACCTACCTCAACAAATTGTTATGGGATTGAAATATGTATTAAGAGCCTAGAATAGTAGTTGCTACATTGTAAAGAGTATGTAAGTGTTTGTTTACCAAAAAATAATGACACCAAGAGAAGTTAAGAGATTAGGTGAAAAGTAAATTACATCTAGCTTTACTCTTAATATTAGATTAGTATATAAGTCAAAGATGGTTTTTGAGAGAATAATAGACTCAGATAGTGGGAGAGTTTTCCATGTAAGCAGTTACATAGTAGATAAAGGAAACAAAAAATGATTTTTAAGACCTTAATCTGAACAAAATTATATACCGACTTTATCAAATTCCCATTGCCCACAGCCCCTAAAAGCAAACTCTCATTTTAAAAAACTGCTCTTCCTTTGCCTACTCACATTATCAGTTTAAATGTAAACCTAATATAACTATTGTTTCCCCTGGTCATTTCAATTAATTAGAAATTGCTCTCTGCCAGTCAAAATATCATCACTTTATCTGCTCTGTTATGTTTTCATAATAGGTCATTTTCATATAATGGCAGCATATTCATTCAAATTTAATACATATTTAAAAGTTTAATGGACATCAAGCATACAGCTACATACTTGAGATAAAAAATGAATATGTTTGGTCTTTGGCCTCTTTTAGAGATTAAACCAGATTACAAAGTCTTTAGTAAAAAAATAATTAAGAAACATTTGTATTAAATTAACAAATTACTCTAAAAATTAAAAATGCTTTTATTTATTAAATATCATGGACTTAAATCTAGAAAAACTACTCTAAAATAATGATACACTGATTTTAATATATATAGGCTAATTTCTCTTTCTTGAATATAAATATGTGTCTATATCTTAAATATATATGTATACCATGAATAAGCCTTAAATATACACACACACATTTATATACACAACACATATATAAATAGCTCTACTAACTTGATAACTCATTTTCAACAAAAAGTATGGCTTTAAAAAATAGTATCTACTAGATAGTAGAATTCGAATGCTTTAATATTTCTATTGGAATTGAGACATCTATTTCTAAACCTACAAATAAACTCTACTTGTTTGATTTGAGAATTGCTGGTTACAAAAGAACAGAAAAAAATCAATAGTTATTTAGTAAGAAGTAAAACACACACACACACACACACACACACACTCACAATTCTGCTGTAAAAACTGAATTTGATGGCAAAGATCAGATTCTTCCCAAATTCTAAAAATAAAACACATGTCTGCCAGAAAGCCAAGTATTATATCCACCTGATCTATGGAGGTTATAGTTATGAAGGCAACTAGAAAATAAGTACACACTGTTTCCACTTTTTCTTTTAAAAGAAGTTATGTCTAGCCACAGAGTATGTTCAGCTGTAATGGAATACATGGGTAGTCCAATGTTAGGTCACTGGACAATGGGTATTTACTATCTTCTAGCTATATTTATCCATTCATTACATATTTTACTTCTCAATTGCTATATGCCAAACACTTTGATAGGCATTAGGACAAATATGAATAAAATGTGCTCCTACTATGAAGGAGCCCACATGCCAATGAGTAAGATAAAGCAATGATAAAGTGTTACAGGCAGAAATTTGTGCTGAAATTGTAGAAACCCAAGGAATAAGTAACCAGTGGCAAATAGATATACTAGGGGTCAGAGAAGCACCATGTTAGACAGGTCTTTAAGGATATAACAATTTTATAAATTTACTAAAGTTACCCCTTACTTCCCCCTAGCTTAATGGATGAGACTATGCCTTCCTGTTCACAGGCAACTGGGTGAAAAAGAATATCTGATTCAAGATAGGAAAATTATCTTCTCTCTGCTGTTTCTCAATAAGTTAAACTGAGAGATATGGAAGCAATGTTAGCAGCTGAATCAACTAAATAGTGAAGGATGGTAATAAATTTTGGGGAAAACTTGTCCCTGAAATCCACTATTTGTTGCCCTTTTCAAAGTTTTACTTGTCAACCATGTCAGATTTTTCCGTTATTCCATGAGATCTAAGCTCAGAAAATTAACTTTCTTTACTAGAGGGTTTTGATTCTTGCAATGAAATAGAAGGGAAATGGTAATTCAAGCAGCAAGAATTACATATTCTAAAATATAGAGGAGATGAATGAGAAAGAAAAGTAAAAGTAAAATTCAAATATTTTAAAATGCAAAATAAGATGTTTTCAGGTACACAGTTGGATCTAAGACACTTCTCTCTTCCAAACACAAGAATATCCAGGGTCTTGAATTTATTTCCCATTTCCTAGCCTTAAGGGTTCTACAAAATGTGACTATAAAACATGAAAAAATATGAATACATATTTCTCATGAGAGAAGTATATTTGTCCATGATCCCAGCTGCAGAATTTGGATTTTTAATTTGGGTGGCAATAGAATGATCATACCAAATTCTTTATTCATAATGTTATGTATACTGGGTGTTTAACATATTTTCCAAAATGTCTCTTATAAAATTAATCTTTAATAACCAAGTCTAGTATATGAAACTTCAGACAGAAAATAGTATAAAAGGTGAAAGGCAAAAATGATAATGCAACAGTACCTCGAGTTAGAGAATTACATGAATAAAGTGTGCCACAAGGCATTATTCTAGATTCAGTCATTATATACAATCACCATTAATAAATTGTGAAGAATCTGGTAGTAAAAACATTATGTCTATGTAAATATATGTATTATATATTACATCTATAGATTTTAAAACATTATGTAATATATATACATTTGTGTGTGTTTGTGTATATGTAAGTATATATACTTATATATAAGTGTGTGTGTGTATATATATATAAAAAATATATAAAACACAATTCCCAGCATTATGGGGTAAATATGAAACAAAATATTTCTGCAATGTAAAGTCAACTCTACAGGTCCATTTTTTTCTCTTTTTCTCTCTCACTTTCTTGCTCTTCCTTTTCTTTTTTATTTTACTTCTTGGGAAATAAATGCTGGTGAGCTATTCAGCATATCTTTTAAGTACCAATAGTAAATTCAATACTCTGATTTTTTAAAAAAAACTTGTGTTTTCTTTATTGATCATATTTATTTTTCATAATATAAACATGTAATAAAACTACTGTCAATATTTCCTAAACATTTTTAAAATTTTTGATGGTCATGATACTCAATTTTTAAAAGATTATTTATTGAAAGTGGCCTTATTAAGGGAAAAGAGAAACAGGAAGTAATCCAGGGTATAGCTATGAGTATAGCTGTAAAGAAAAAGTGTGGGTGGAGACGGGGAAAACAATGCTAATTTTGTGGGTTTTTTTTTTTGTTTTTCTGTTTTTTTGTTTTTTTGTTTTTTTGAGACGGAGTCTCGCTCTGTCGCCCAGGCTGGAGTGCAGTGGCCGGATCTCAGCTCACTACAAGCTCCGCCTCCCGGGTTCACGCCATTCTCCTGCCTCAGCCTCCCGAGTAGCTGGGACTACAGGCGTCTGACCCCACGCCCAGCTAATTTTTTGTATTTTTAGCAGGGACAGGTTTTCACCGTGTTAGCCAGGATGGTCTCATCTGCTGACTTCGTGATCCGCCCATCTTGGCCTCCCAAAATGCTGGGATTACAGGCGTGAGCCACCGTACCTGGCTAATTTTGTGATTTTTAAAAATCTGTCTTTATAAGCCATAATAATAGAAGTAAAAAAATAATAAATTTGTTTATTCAAAAAAATCTGTTGAGCACTCACAATTATGAAAATTAGTAGGAGGGATATAATAAATTATAATGTGGCAAACTTTTCTATTATACTTTAAGTTCTAGGGTACATGTTCACAACATGCAGGTTTGTTACATAGGTATATATGTGCCATGCTGGTTTGCTGCACCCATCAACTCTTCATTTTCATTAGTATTTCTCCTAATGCTATCCCTCCCCCAGCCCCCCACCCACCCCCTGACAGGTCCTGGTGTGTGATGTTGTTCCTCACCCTGTATCCATGTGTCCTCGTTGTTCAACTCCCACCTGTGAGTGAGAACATGTGGTGTTTAGTTTTCCGTCCTTGTGATAGCTTGCTTAGAATGATGGTTTCAGCTTCATCCATGTCCCTGCAAAGGACATGAACTCATCATTTTTTATGGTTGCATAGTATTTCATGGTGTATATGTGAATGTGGCAATCTTTAAAAATGTACTATTTAGTAGAGGGAAATATCAGGCATGCTGAGTCTTTTATTAGCTACTTTTAATACAAAGTTAAAAATTATAAGAGTCATACTAGCTTAAATACAGACATACAGGCCAACAAAACAGAATACAGAGGCTGATAATAAACCCAAGTATATATAGTCAAATGATCTATGACAAGAGTGTCAAGATTATACAATGGAGAAGGTGCAAAAACTACACAATGGGAAAGGACAGTCTCTACAATAAATGGTTTTGGGAAAGCTGGATATCTACATGCAAAATAATGAAATTGGACGGTATCTCGCACACGCACAATGAGGAACTCAAAATGAATTAGAATCAAATGTAAGACCTAAAATTATAAAACTCCTAGAAAACAAACATGAAAAAGAGCTTCATCATATTGACCTTGGCAATAATTTCTTAGATATGACACTAAAAGCAAGGGAAACAAAAGCAAAAATAGACAAGTGCGACTACATCAAATTAAAAAGGTTCTACATAGCATGGGCAATAATCAATATAGTGAAAAGGCAACCTATAGAATGGAAGAAAATTACAAGCTATATGTCTATTAAAGAATTAATATCCAATATATAAGGAACTCCCACAACTCAGTAGCCAAAAAAGACCTGATTTTTAAAAACGAGCAAAGGACTTGAATAGACATTTCCCTGAAGAAGACATAGACATGGTTAACGGCCATATGAAAAGATGATCAACATTACTAATCATCAGAGAAAAATAAATCAAAACCACAATGAAATATTTCACACCTGTCAGGATGGTCATTATACAAAAAACAGAAAATAACAAGTGTTAGCAAGGATGTTGAGAAAAGAAAACACTTGTATACCATTGGTGGGAATAGAAAATGCATCAGCCACTATGGAAGAGAGTATAAAGTTACCTCAGTAAACTAAAGATAGAACTACCATTTGATCCAGCAATCCCATATCTAAGTATTTATCCAGAGAAATTAAAATCAGGATCTGGAAGAGATATTTGTACTCCTATGTTCACTGAAGCAATTTTCACAATAGCCAAAGGTAGAAACAATATAAATGTCCATTGGCAGATGAATGAGTAAAGGAAATATGGGATATACATTCAATGGGATATTACTCAGCCTTAAAAATGAAGGAAATCCTGTTATATGCTACAATGTGGATGAACCTTGAGGACATCATGCTAAGTGAAATAACAGTCACAGGAAGACAAATACTGTATAATTCCACTTAAATAAGGTATCTAAAGTAGTCAAACTCAAGCAGAAAGTAGAATGATGGCTGCCAGAATTTGAAAGGAGAGGGAAATAGGGAGTTGCTGTTCAAATGAATATAGTGTACCAGTCATGAAAAGTAAAGAAGTTCTAGAGATGTGCCTTAAAACAATGTGTATATACTTAACAATATGGTACTTCACATTTAAAATTTTGTTGAGGATAAAATTTTGTTCTCAACAAAATTTCATGTGGTTTCATGTTGTGTTTTTTTACCACTATACACACACATATGTGCATATGTGTATATATGCACACACATACACTATATATGTACCATATACACAATGTATGTATACTGCATATATAGTATATATAAAGATATATATATACACACACATAAAGTGAAATGACAGAGAAGTAATATCAGAACTCAGAAAAAGGAAAGATTACTATGAGTCAAGGTTATCAGAGAAAGCTTCAAGAAAGAGACTGAATAAGTCACAGGCCTTAAAAGATACATAAGATATGAACATTTAGAGATTATTTGCAGTACTCTTTCAGGCTAATGAAATAGCATGAGCAATAGCATAGAGGAAAGAATCTTAAAGCACTCAGGAAATAGTAGTTCATATGAACCTGAGTGAGGTATGTAAAAGGAGAAATAGAAAGTAGGATTCGAATGACCAGGCTACAATTAAAGAATGCCGACCAGGTGCGGTGGCTTACGCCTGTAATCCCAGCACTTTGGGAGGCTGAGGCAGGCTGATCACCTGAGGTCAGGAGTTCGAGACCAGCCTGGCTAACATGATGAAACCCTATCTCTACTAAAAATACAAAAATTAGCCGGGCGTGGTGGCATGCTTGTGTAATCCCAGCTACCCAGTAGGCTGAGGCAGGAGAATCGCTGGAACCTGGAAGGCAGAGGCTGCAGTGGGCAAAGATTGTGCTACTGCACTCCAGCCTGGGTGACAGAGGAAGACTTAATCTCAAAAAAATAAAAATAATTTTAAAAAAGAATGCCTTGGAAGGTAAACTAAGCAGTACAGATTTTATGTTTCTACATAATATGAAGAATTGAACTTTTGAGGACTTCAATGAATATAAAATGACAAGGATAAAATTTAAAACTTGCAGGATAGTATATTTGAAGTTCACAGGCACATTGTCAATAGCTGGCCTATATAAAGCACAAAAATTACATCTATTCACATTTTTAATTTTTCTTGCCTTTACAGATTCATTAAAAATAGTAATTACACAGTACTTACAGGTGTGATAAACATTAGAAAAATATGAAGGAGTATAAAATATTGCTTTTCCTTAAAAAAATCTCTTTAGTTAAAACAAATCTAAATTATGCAAAGCAATTAGAATATAACCAAGTAATTCATATACTGGTCAAATTAATATGTAGCTTCAACGAAGGGAAAAATTGGGGAGGGCTGGCTTAATCAAGAAAGGTTAGTCAGAGTCAGTGTAGATTAGTGCTTAAGAAAACAGGCTCTGGAATTAGAATGAATTATATTTAAATCCCTGCTGTGTAATTAAATGTGTGATCTTGGGTAAGTAACTTAACTGCTTGGGATGTTTCTTACTCTATATAATTGGGAGAATTCTATGAAAATTTATGCAGACATAAAATTATACTGCACAGCAGAAACTTAACATAGAATAGTTCTTCTCTCTTCTCTCTTACTATGCCTAAGGATGAATCAGAAAAATCAGAGAAAATATCAGAATATATATTGTATATTTTTGGCTGAAAACAATACATGTACTTTTGTGAATTTTTGAAAAGAAGACAAAAAAGGAGATAATGGAAAAAAATCACCTATAATTCTATTCCATGAAATAAATATACTTAAGATTTTATTTATTCTTTTCTCAGAGGAAGAGAGAGAGACAGAGTACTCCTACCTTACCCCTTGATAATATGAGTCCTCTTTTTCATGATATTAACCATTTTAGGATTGCATTATCTTTAATGACTGACCAGTTGCCTATAATAAAGATTGGACCTACATTTATTTACCAAGTATTTACTGCACATTTCCTATGTGTTGGTTACTGTTCTAGTACTGAAAACAGAGCAGTTGACAAAGACAAAATCCTTAACTAATGGTTTTCAACCATTTGAAATCATGATTTCTTCTAATGTTTCACTATCACAAACCACATATCAACAAATGTCTTTGTATATAATTTTGCAAATATCTGTGTTTATTTCCTGTTTTCTCAGAAATAGTTCTTGTAAGGTCCTCTGAGTTGGCCGCACCATGGTCAAGCCATGGTGACATTCCCCTGCCCTTATGATAATATATTTTGTGATATTACCCATCCTTGTGAATGTACTTTGTAACATTCCTCCATGCCCTTGTGACAATACACCCTCCTTACCCTTGTGAATGAACTTTGTAACATCCATCCCCTGCCCCCCAAAAATTGCTCCTTAATCCACTGCCTATCCCAAACCTATAAGAACCAATGATAATCCCACCACACTTCGCTGACTTCTTTCTCGGACTCAGCCCACTTGCACCCAAGTGAATAAACAGCCGTGTTGCTCACACTAAGCCTGCTCAGATGGTCTCTTATACGGACACACTTAACAGTTCTGAAAACAGAAATAAAGATATAAATTTAGGAAAGACTCCTAAAACATATAACAAATATGAGTTCTAGATGAGCTGAGCCAATTTTACTTTTGTGGACAATACAGGCATACCTCAGAGACATTATGGGTTTGATTTCAGGCCACTAAATAAAGTGAATATCTCAGTAAAACAAACCATACAGTTTTTTTTCCTTTCCTAATGCATATATAAAAGTTACATTTACACTATACTGTAGTATATTAAGTGCACAATAGAATGATGTCTAAAAAAAGGTAGTCTATTAAGTGTGCAATAGGATGATGTCTGAATTTAAAAATATTTTGTTGCTTTAAAATGCTAATGACTATATGAGCCTTCAGTGAGTCACAATCTTTTTGCTGGTGCAGGGTCTTGCGTTGCTATTGACGGCTGCTGACTGATGAGCATTGTTGTGGCTGATGGTTAGCTGTGGCAATTTCTTAAAAACAGATAACAATAAAGTGTACTGGATCAATTGATTGTCTTTTCATGAATGATTTCTCTATAGCATGCAATGTTGATGGCATTTTCCTGGCAGTAGAACTTCTTTTCAAACTGGAGTCAATTCTCTCAAACCCTACTGCTATTTTATCAAATAAGTTTATGTAATATTATAAATCCTTTGTTGTCATTTCAACAATGTTCATAGCATCTTCACCAAAAGTAGACTCAATCTCAAGAAACCACTTTCTCTGTTAGCCATAAGAAGCGACACTTCATCCTTTCAAGTTTTTTTATGCAATAGCTGAAAATTAGTTGTATCTTCAGGCCCTACTTATAATTCCAGTTATCTTTCTATTTCTACCACATCTGCAGTGAGTTCATCCACTGAAGTTTCAAACCTCTCAAAGTCATTCATTAGGGCCGGAATCAACTTCTTCTAAACTCTTGTTAATATTGATATTTTGACCTGCCATGAATCATGAATGTTCTTAATGGCATCTAAAATGATCAATCTTTTCAAAATATTTTCAATTTACTTTGCCCTGATTAATCAGAGCAATCACCCATCTATGGCAGCTAAATATATCTCTTAGTAAAATTTGAAATTTTTCATTACT